GGGAAGTGGTGGAGTCCCCATCCCTGGAGGTATTTAAAAGATGCGTAGATGAGGCACTTAGGGACATGGTTTAGTGGGTGGTGGTGTTGGGTCGATGGTTGGACTCGATGATCTTAGAGGTCTTTTCCAACCTCAATGATTCTATGATTCTATGGCTGCAGAAGCAGGAGACTGACACCCCTAAGCAAGAGGTCTGCAGGGCACTGACTGGCCATCATGAACACTCAAACCATTTTAAACTTCTGACGGGGACCTCTTTTGGGCCAAACTTACCAAGGCCACTCTACAGAATGAAAACCAGCAACAGCCTTGGGATGCCGGTGGGATAGCTTGGATGCATTTTGAAAGCAGGGGGACATTTCCCACTGCAAGTCTGGTCACAGGCAGCTTTCAGCCAGTGGGAACACATCAATTTCTGCAGAGCTGGAAAAGGTATTTAAAAAAAATCATTATCCCATCTTTCCCGCTGAGAGGGTAGTGTGTGCAGGGCTCCTGCTGAGCAAAGCAGGGGCTCTGCCCCCTCAGCTTGTCACTCTGAGAGGTTCTGAAAGCAGGAGGCATTCCTCCACCTGCGTCCCACCTCGGGATGGTCGGCACCGGGTACTTCCAGGGGAGCAGAGGTTACTTCACGTCTCATGGCCACATCTGAAGTGCTGATGGATCTGCTGAGAAGTTGGACCTGTTTCCATCCGCCAGTTGATGAATGTGAACTTCAGACTAGAATTAGTTGCTCACACCGACAGCCTGCCTAATCCAGTACTGCATCTCCGAGTGGACATAAGTCTACGATGAAGCTTAATGCGTTCAAGATGAAACATCTCAGGATGACAGTGGCACCGCCCTGGCCCCTCTCTCTGAGCAAGCCTTGCTGTGTCACAGTTCAGCTTTCACCGATGCTCCTGAGGTCATTGCTGAGCACAGCGGAAAACTGGGGAGATTCTCCTACAGCAACTTGGAAATTAAGTCTTTATCAACCTATTAAAATGCTTCTCACAGAGAACAAGAAAACAAATCCAAGGCAATCAGTCTCTCGTGGGTAAGCTGCTGTGTCTGCAGCAGCACACAGCATCTGAGGGCCAGCCCTCCGTGGAGAAAAGGGAATGACTGAACTTGGGATCAGCAACTCTTCTCCCAGGTCTATCTGTGGATGTGGCAAGCCACTCCCTGAGCTCCAAGGGCTCCACAAGGAACACATTCAGATCACAAAGACTGGCACGTGATTTAACCTGAAACCTCGTTTTCAGAAGAGGACGATTCTGCTGCACTCCTGACGTCGGGAAGGCACAAAGGAGCGTGTGCCAATGCCACCTCGGCACCTGTGACATCCCCAATCCTGTCACCTACAGGTGCCATGACATGCTGCAATAGTCGCACATCTGAATTCCCGATCCATGGGTGAGGAGCTGCACAACTGCTGGGCTCCTCCAAGGCAGCGGAGTCCCCAGAGCACTGCCATGAGCTGTCCTATAGGTCCCACCCATACCAGGGAGGTGTGACCAGAGACACCTTCCCAGCAGTGAAGGCACCATCCCGCCCTTCCCCAAAGAGCAGAAAGGGGAGCCTCCGTACACTTGAGTGTTGCAGCTGATGCTCCAAGCACCCACCTTACCCCAGCAGCAACAGTTTTGTTGGGCGAGAGCCTTCCCTCGCTGCAGGAGAGCTGGGAAGGATCTGGAAATGCAATCCCAACACATGCTCTTCTGGACTCTGAATTCCCCGGTTGCATCTTCAAATTTGGCACACAAGAAGCTGTTCCAGGAGGGCACAACCTCCCAGCTCACTGTGACCAGGCGGTGCCCCAGCCAGACTAGGCGGGAGGTGCTGGTGTCACTCAGATATACAGGTCTACCACTTGACCTGCCATCTTGAACAAGATGATCAGCAGAGAGCCACTCTGGCCACCTGGGAAGAGACATGGGTCCCCACACTCAGTTTCCATCCCTCCCGAGGAGGGCACATAACCCCAGCACACCAGACTCTCAATAATCCACACCAGGTACTAGCTCCTCCTCTATCTGATGGAAGAGAAAGACACTTTTGACCCAGCTAAGCCTTAATGCCTGTTCTAATTTTAAAGTCTTTCCTTTCTTCTTCCACCTCTTTTCTACCGTATCTTTTCTTTGTCTGTGTGCCACTGACCAGCCTAATAGGAGATGATTCTAGGAAAGGCAAGCATCACCACAGGCACCCGGAAAAGGGCCTTTCCACCCTGCCTCTCTCCCCCTATGACAATTAGTCACATCTCCCCAACCTTATAAAGTAGTTCAGATCCTCAGAGCCTTCCACAGAGACCTCAGTAACTCTTCAAAGCTTCTCGAATCACAGCAGCAAGTATCCAAAACATCCGCGTTTTACAGGTAGAGAAACCAGAGCAGAGATGTTCAAGGACTTCTCAGACATGTCATGACAGAAGCCAGCACTGACACGACGACAAGCTCTTAGGTCCAAGCCCGCTTTCCTCCCACGAGCCAGTCAGCCCTTGGATGGAGGCACAGTCAAGCCCGAAGGTGACTGTGAGCATATACTATTGACAAAGAGAGCCCTGGGACTACACTTCTCTCATTGCCTAATTTTACCCTTTGGGATTGCAGGACACTTCTCTTTCCATGAAACCTAACAAACCACCAAAAATTCAGGAGGTTTCTGTATACCTGCTATCTGCAAATTTTGAACAAGGTAATTTTTTGGGAGGATGAATAATCCAATTAAGAATGATTTGAGGATCTGGC